TGGACGACATCAAGTGGCGGGACACATCAAAGCCATTGTGCTCAACTACTTAGAGGCACTCCGCCACACATCCCCCCAACCCCTCCCTTATGGCTATGGCCAAGAGGAATGTTACCAAAAATCACGTATACGTCCAGTGGCCATTAAGTAATACGAGAGAGCTCAGTGTTGCCAGCTGCACTTAGGTCCCCACTTCTTTACAGCAATTACCGTTCTCTTTCGCACTCTCTGCCCCCTCCCACAGATCACCCTCTGCCCACCCTCCCTCGTATTTTTTTTTTCGGCTCTGCACGGCCTTCGGCATCAGTTACTATTTAGTGCCCCTGCCCCCCACCCACTCTTCCACATGGGGGGGCACAAGGCACAGTGCACCCAGCAAAAAAAAAAAAAAAACACCCACATTTGTCGCTCGTCTAATTCATTTCGTTCTCTCCTCATCCACTCTGCTCTCTTTCTCTCTCTCTCTTTCTGTCTCTGGCTCTTTGTTTCCTGGTCTGTTGCTACCCGCAGGACTACGTGACCGTCTACGATGGCTACACCACACGTGACCCCATCATATTGAAGTTCTGCGGCGGTGGTCAGGCAGTGCCAGCGGCCGTTTCCAGCGGCCCGGAATTGTTGGTCGAGTTCAGCACGTCCCCGTTTGGCACCTTTACGGGCACCTCATCGCAGGTGCTGCCACTCTACGGATTCCAGCTGGAGGTGAGAATCCCCCCCGTGCACCCCCCCGCCCAGCGACGTGTTAATCACACTTCTCTCTTGGCGTCACACAGGTCGAAGTTCAGTTCGTGGACATACAGAGCCCAACGTACTCGAAGAACAAGAAACCCTGCGAGTTCTGGATACGCGGTGCTGGTCGCGGCATCCTCGAGAATCCCAAGCACTCGCTGGCCCCCAATTCCACGTGTCTGTACCACCTGCAGGGCATGGGCGTCTTCAAGACCTTCGACCATCTGAGTCTGTCGCGTCGCATCAACAGTCAGTCGGGCATGCACCAGCCGCTGTCACGCTTCAAGGTCTGGATATCTGTGCTGAAGTTCAATCTGGATCCGGAGTTTGGACAGATGGATGAGACATCTGTGGGTGCCATTGGCGTGCTGCAGACCCAAGAGGACTGCAGCGGCATGCTGCGCATCTGGGATGGGACACTCAGGGATCCGCCTGTGTGCAAGGATCTCAACTGGTGAGTGTGACTGGGAGCGTGGCAGCTGACCTTCGGGCTACAAGCTAACTGGGTTTCCCTTCCTTTCAGCGTTACGGAGAGCAACGGCTACAATACCGTCGGCCACTATGCCCATAATTCCACCAATGTGATTGCTCGTTTCTGCCGCGGCACAATTCCGCGCACCTGCGATCGCTCCAACATCAATGAGACCTATGCCAGGCCCTGCACCATCTCCGAGAGCTACGTGTCCAGCAACGATGCCATCACACTGGAGCTGCGCAACACCGAATCCACAGTGCTGAGGTAAGTGAAGGGGACTGACTACCTCCTCTATCCTGGCACTGGTACCTTGATCTGTCTCTTGTTTCGCCTCATAGACCGCTCGACTTTAAGCTAAAGTACGAGTTCATTGACCTGCATCAGGATGGCCTACCGTGGGGCGGTGGCGAGCACGACTGCAACCGAAAGTTTCTCAGCAGCATGATGGATCGCAAGGATCCGGCCATCTTCCGCAGCGTACGCAACATCTTTCTGTTCGGCAGGGGCGGCACTCGCCACCTGAAGTGCATCTACAAGTTTGAGGCGCAGCGGGGCGAGCGGGTGCGCATTAAGCTGCGCAAGGTGACGACCACCAATCGGAATTGCTACTCGCGGCTGGACGAGGACATCAATCGATCCTTTTGCTACGGGGACACCAATGTTCGGATTGAGGTACAGGCCATAAAACTCTTCAAGCCGATCTCTCTGTTCTAAGAGCCTTCGTTTGCAGATCTTTGAGCGGCCCTATCACGATTCGATTCTGCTGCATCGTGGCTGTGTGTGCAACTCCTCGAACCAGTCCCATCTGCCCGTGGAATACACGTCGACTGGTCGCGATGTGGAGGTGCATTTCGTTGCCCAGAACATGACCACACTGGACGATCCGGACACGGTGAACTTTGAGGGAATGTTTGAGTTTGTCAAGGCGCCCACAAGCTGCAAGGATGGACGTCGCAAATTCGGACCCAGTGGCACCATCGACATGACCTTTGGCGATGTGAGTGCAGCTGAACAGCCGCCCAAATTCCAGGCTTATTCGCGTGTTCTACTTGCAGGTGGAATGCCGCTCCAGACCCTGGCTGATTGAGCCCTCGAATGGCAATAAATTCCTGTATGTGCGCCTCAAGGCCATCTTCCTCAGCAAGTACAATCCCACAAAGACCCTGAACTCGACCTACCTGCAGACGGACACCTGGCGCTGTGAGACCAAGTCGAGGGCCGTGCTAACTACTTCAGAAGGTGGGGGGTCCAAGCCACAAAACTCTCGCAACAAACCTCCAATGTGTCTATCTCTCTTTGCCAGGTCTGACCATTGTGGCCTGTCCGCTGAGCCCCGACTCGAATGGCTATGAGTTTGTGGAGATCTTCAGCTCTGGCTGGAACGAGCGACCCAATTTTGCACTCATCAACCGGTCCAGGGCCATCAGCGTGGAGTTTCTGCGGCCCGGCAATGGCGAGTATACCTTCAACTGGATGGAGCTGGTGCCCAGGCCCACGCTCAGCATGGCGGGTATGACATAGCAGTTTGATTCTTCCATTGAATGTTAAGCTTAATTTCGCTTGCTTAATCCTGTTTAAACCCACAGAGGACTGCCAGTTCAAGTGCCCGGAGCTGGGGGCCTGCGTGAATGCCAGCGTTTGGTGTGATGGCGTCATCCATTGTCCCTCTGGCGATGATGAGGCCTTCCTGCAGTGCTCGGCGCTGATGAAGCTACCAGTTGAAATTCTGGCCACGCTCTGTCTGATCTTTGTGCTCTCGTGTTGTGCATTTGCTGCTTTTGCATACAAGTGAGTCGAACATTGATCGACCATGTTGATAAAATGATCTAACATTGAGAGGCCTTTCGCTTGTAGGAAAATCAAACGTAAATTTCGCGGCGCATCGGTGCTACAGACGCGCCTCAAGTCGCTCAGCTCGATGGATACGGCTGTGCTGGATGAAAAGGAGGTGATTTGCTGACAAAACGACAATTCTGTGCGTTATGTTGAGATCGATCGTGTGACCACGGTCTGAGTGCTCGACGGCCCCACTAACGTGCAGAATTGTGCCCCGGAACTGAAACACACACACACAAAACTGAAAGCAAATGCGAAACGCAACAATGAAATGATCAAAAACAAAAAACAAAAAACAAAAAACCTAAACAAAACTCGTATCTTGAAATCAAAAACAAAAATCAATACCAGAATCAAAATCAGACTCGTTCATCTGTTTTTTAAAGAAATGCATTTATAAGAAAGTGAAACAAAAGAACCCGCGCAGATATCGCAAGAGATGGCCACAGTTTTCGTTGGTTCTATTTGTATTTAATCTCTGCATTTTATACCCACTTATAGAAAGATCGCGAGACTCCGCATCGTGACTGGATCGTTGGTGTTTTTTTTTTTTGTTGTTTTGTTTTGTTTTTGTATTGTCGCGCAATTTTATAAGCAATTTTTCTAGGCCTAGGATTTTTTCGTATGTATTTTCGATATGATTTCCAAACCTAACCTGAGCTGATCGTATCTGATCCTCTGTGACACAGACTGTACATAAATACGATGGCGGAACAGACAGGACAGAACGGAACGAAACGGAACGGAGAATGGACAGTGGACAGTGGACTCTGATCAGTTAAAACTTCCACTAGGTTTTGGGTGTCTTTGGTTTTAATGGCAGATTACTCATAGACCTATGTAGATACAACTGTTTCCTAATAGCCTTTAAGTGTCTCTCGTACTATGCTAATCAAAAACTGACTAATCGGAAGGTAGAGAATGAGAGGATCGAATGGGATCGTTGGGAGAAGCGTAGTTTATTTTGGGGAATGTTTCAGAAACTCCCACAGCATTTATTATGCGGCGCACAAGTAAGAAACCAAAAAAGTAAATATAATTATAATATATACCAAAAAAAAAAAAGAAACAAAGCAAGCAAATGGGGGAATAGGAGGTTTAATCGACAACTCCAAGTAGATTGTAAGTGGCAAGTAAAAGTGAATATTTTACATTTTAAGATTGATGGATGGATGGACGATGGGATGCATCGTAGTCGCCAGTTATGTGGATCAGGTGGATCAGCGGAGTAGAGGAAGTGTGAGCTCGGGTGTAGGCGAATATGTCAATATACATATATATATATATAGAAGCTAGATGAATTCGTTAGTTGTTTAATAGACGTTGTAGTGATCATGGATAATATCAGCATAATCAAAGCTAAATCAAAGCCAAGAACTTAGAGTTAGTGCGTACGTCGTAATCGGAGTTGTAGCCAAGGCGAAGATGAAAGTCAAAGTGAAAGTCATACTCAATATCACGCCCATTTTGTTGTCTTCAATAGTGTGCACTGTTCGCTCTCATAGACATAGACCACATCCATCTAGCGCCTGCTCCCTCACACCAAAAAAAATAACAAAAAAAAAAAAAACCAAAATCTTTTGCATGGTTAATCCTCGTCTCGTTCTTGTTGGCCCGTGGCTCAATGGCAGCTTACTTAATCGAATACTTTTTTCTATTTTGTATTCTTTCTTTGAATATTCTTGTTGTTGTTTTTTTGTGTCACAAGAAAAAGGCCAGCGTTGAGACCAAGATCTAAAGGCACAAGGGAAGAGCGAGCAAGGGAGGCAATGCCAATATATGCCCGGCCGGGGCCAGAAGGAGAGGGAGCAGGGATCAGGGACTGGGACTCCAAAGAGGCAAGCAAGCACACAGAGAGTATGCAGAATCTCTGCAGTTGATTGAAAAATGCATTTTTGTTGAAACTCGTTTTGTTTTTTCCTTTGTGAAGAACTGTAAATAAAATCGAATAGAAGCTGTATGATATTAACAATTTTACATTGAGCGTTTTATTTCCATTACAAAAATCATTCTTCCACAAAAAAAAATAAAACTCCATGAATATTGTGAACATCTTTTGATATTCGAATCAAACTCAGACAATAAACGTTCAAAGTCCCTTTCTTTGTGGCTCAGAGGAACCTTCTTTTGTTCTCCCTGCCCCCGCCCTTACTTATAGCGAGAACAGCAGATAAATAATTTTAGAATATATTATCAGATCTCTGGATGATGATCCTAAATAAATAATATAACATTAATTAAAACCAAACCTAAAGCTCAACTACTAAACGAATTAACTAAAGATTAAAAGATTAACCAAGATCTACCAACTGATTATTAGCAAGACAAACAAACAAACAAAAACAAACTGCCCGAATTGAAACAATTTTTGTCGTAAACTTAGACTTAGCAAAACGAAAGCGATCTTGAATCCGGATTGGATTGAATGGGATTGGGATGCGTATGAGTATTAGAATTTTAAATTTTAAATTAGTTTAAATCGAAATCTAAAACGTAACGTAACGGTGGATAAACACGGAACACGATAAACCCAAAAAAGCATTGACTTAAATTCAAAATGTTGCAAAAAAAAAAAACAAGAAATCATATCAGATTCTAAAATGATATTAAAATTAAATCAAAACAAAAAACTGAACAACTTAATAAACAAGCATTTAAATCCCCCAGAAAAAAAACTGAACGAGAACATTATTTCACACCACCCCCCCCTACGTCACAACCCCGCTAACCAAACAACTCTTTGCAGCGAATTGGAATTACAAAACACACTTAAAACATGGATATATGCATGCACAGGCATCATCGAGAAAGATGCATTTAATCCTTCAAGTAAGTGGGAAACTGTGTGTCGTCTGAGGTGGGCGCTGGTATGGTTACACCGCCCGTGTCCACGGCTGGCTCATGTGGCAGCGAATCAACGCTCTCCAGCGGCATAAAGCAATCGGCGGATATCTATTCATACACATTAAAATGAACCTTAAATGGACGATAAACCTTGGCCCACGTACCTCGTTGTTCTTGTCGCTCAGCTTGCGCGGATACTTGAAGCCGACTGCCCGTGCCGCATCCATGGAGTCTTCACAGTTGGTAATCAGACCCTGGCGATGATCCTGCTTGTGTGCCTGCAGTCGCTCGGCATTGATCGAGGTGTAGCTGCACAGATCGCAGCACAGATCGCGATACGCATCGGCATGGTTCAGTCTCATGTGACGCTTCAAGGCATTGGCCTGTATGCAGCCGTAGTCACAGTGGCCGCACTTCAGGGTGCGCTGCTTGGACGCACTGCCATGGCGTTGTCGATGCTTGTGCAGGACACTGGGATCTCGCGTTGAGAACTTGCACTGTTCACACTGCAGCGGCTTCTCGCCGGTGTGCTGGCGCATGTGGATCTAATGGATGGTTGGAAATATAATGATAATCCAATGGATAGCCATGGGGCACACACTCACTATCAGGCTAGCCTTGCGCGCCGTCTTTTTGCCACAAACATTGCATATAAACGGCTTGATCTTGTTGTGCACCGTCTTCACATGCTTGGAGAGCGTTTTGCCATTGACAAATCTACGATTGCAAATCTCGCATGTTTTCTCTGCATAGTATTTGTTCTTCTTGGGCGTTGCAGGTGGTGCCGCTGGCTGAGACGCCGGCTCCCCGGACTGCTCCTTTAGTTTCCGCCTTCGCTGGACAGCTGCAAGAGAGCGGAGAACCCTCGGGCGCCACTTTTTGTGCACTCGCATATGCCGCCAGACGAGCGCCGACACGGGTGCATTGTAGTTGCACTCCAGAGCGGGACAGCGCAGCAAGTCCACATCGATTTGATGGACCTTCCACAGGTGGGCAGAGCAACGCCTCCAGTTTGACAGTTCCAGGGCGCATTCACAGCAGGAAAAACTGCCGCCCTTGTGGCATCTGCGATGCACTTCCATTTTTCTGGCATCCTCAAACTTGAACAGACACTCCTTGCTCGCAGAACACCTTAAAAGGAATACCATTCGATTAGAGTTTGTGGGAGGACACTTTGGACACTTACGGCTCTCGCATATTGGCGCGCAGTACGAGTCGAAAGTCCTTAAATGGCATTGGCTGCAGATCTGTCGGTGGCGGGGCTGCAATCTCCGCCTGACTGTCAATAGTTTGCTGCTCCAGGGTGCTCCTGGCGGCATTCGATTGTGTTTTTGTTGGTGTCTTTGCTGCTTTGTGGCCAGCAACTGGCTGACAGCCGTGGTAGAAGACCATGTGACCACGCAGGTCCTCCATTAGATCGTACTGTCGAAGGCACAAGCTGCACACATACACGATGCGAGGTTGGGCCTCCATGTTTTACTTAATTTGAGATATAATTGCGAATTTTTTTGTTTACATTTACTTTACGCCGGCATCAGCGTGACAGCACCGATAACGATAAAAAATACCATTCGGGAAAAAAAATAAATACCATTACCATTAAATACCATTTTCCCAATACAGTCACCCTGTATGCAACATAATATATCGATGTATATATATCGGCATTTCAGTTCTATCAGCTTTTGTCAGACTTCAGAAGAACGAATTATGCAAAATAGAATTTAAATATTCAGTTAAAACGTAATGGCTCCCATAATTGTTGATTCATTTCAGTTTTATAGTTACACTGCACTGCCTTTCCTTTTTATGGGGCTTTATCTCAGATTTCATTACTTCACTTTATTTCAGTATCAAAAATAGTCTTCCGTTCGACAAAGGCCACGTAAACTTTTCCATGTGGTGAACATCACTGGTGGGTGGCTATTAACTGGTATATATATACACATATGTACATCTAAATATAATTATTTTGATATTGTTTTGGGGTTGTACTTCATGTTGGCCGCGGTGCAGTGGCTTGACTTTTGTATACACTCGTATGGCATACAGGCTTCGGTTGAATCCTATCACAAACACAGTCTTTGGTGTTCCTCGTCACTCGTGCGACTCGTACCACTTACTCGAGAGCTGCAAACTCATCGGGATGGGCGGCCTTCAGGTCGGAGTGCGTGGATACCGGTATGGCCGAGGACTTGGCCTTCAGGCGTAAATTGGCATCATTTGTCAGCAGCATCATGTGTGGCACCTCTCTTTGTAGCTGTAGGCAGCAGTTGACAATGCTATCATCGCCACAATCCACTTCAATTAGGTGCTCCGACTCCTCCAAGGCTGATTGAGCTGATAAATAAAGGAATTACTCGCACGTTAGCCAGCGGAAAAGAACATGCAGGCGGACTCTCACCTTGGATTTCAAGACTCTCATCAAATTTGGTGTTTAGAAAGCGAATGGCACGAACAGCCATCTCGCGTCTCATATTGTCATCGTTCTGCCTGACCTTGAGCCTGTCCAGCTCCTTGATCACTATGTACGGTATGAACAGCATGCTGCCCACGGTGCCAGGCAGCACAACTTTCGTGAGATCCTCCACAAATGAGCAGTTGTGCATGAGCACATTTGTGTCGAGTACAAAGTACATGTGCTCCAAGCGACGGGCGGGCAGTTCATTCAACTCGCCGTCCTCCGATTTCCGGTTTAGTATTACCAGATCACAGTCTTCCCAGTCCATCGGCTCTGGCTCCGACTCCGGCTCTGGCTCGGGTTCTGCTCGCTTTGCCTTTTTGCCCATAAATGCATTCGGTATAGCTGGTGGCAGTATTGGACAGTCGTTGTTGTTGCGCTCCTTGGTCTCCTGCTTCGCCTGTTGCCCCAAGGAAGCTCGCAATTGCGTTAGTCGCTGGTTGGCTGCATCGGAAGAGACTCTGGTTGAGAAGGGCGGGGGAGAAACTGCAATCATTCACTGCGCTTACCACTTGTCGAGCTACCCGATTGGAGACGATTGCTGGAATCCAGAAGCGCCTTGGGTTTCTGCCAGGTCTTCGCCTGATCCCTGAGGCGCTCGCGTATAGACTTCGCTGGTGTCAGCGACAATGGCGACGGTGTAAAGGCATTTGATCGGCGACTCTGTGAGAACCGTGGCGTCTCTGATGTCAACGGCGATGGCGACGGTGCAAAGGCATTTGATCTGCGACTTTGTGAGGTGCGTGGCGTCTCCGGTGTCAACGGCGTTGGCGATGGCGACGGTGCAAAGGCATTTGATCTGCGACTTTGTGAGGTGCGTGGCGTCTCTGGTGTCAGCGACTTGCTACTCTGTGAGGAGCGTGATGTTTCTGGTGTCAGCGCCGTGGCGAAGGTCAAGGACCTGCGACCATGTGAGGCGCCTGAAGTTGCTGCACTGCTGGTTGTCTGGGAGGCTGACGTGGAGGCATTTTGATTGCTTCTCTTACTGTCCTTGTCCGGCTTGTCCTTGCTCGCTTTCTTGTCCTGCACTCGCTTCAAGTTCGTCTGCAAGCGCTTCAGACGATTCTGAGCTGGCTGTTTGTTGGTGGGCGCTGCTGCAAATGAAATGATTACAGCGAAAGTCACAAAAGAAACAATTTCCGCCTTACCATGGTAGATCATTTGCATCGCTTCGTCCTCGGTCAGGCGCTTCTTGCATTCCAATTTGCTGCCATAGCCAGACATCCTGTTTTTTTCCACATTTAACAAATTTGTGTTGTTGCGAAGTTGGGCTGGACTAGAGCTGAGCAGGACTTCGATATTTACGATACATCGGTATATGGCGGTATATTTGGTCACACTGCTTGCGAGTTTTTTTTTTTGCGGCCTCTAGCTCCTTGTATTGTGCGACTATTCTACGGTTTTCCATAAGCAATTGCCGTTTTTCATAAATAATTAGCCATCAAGTAGAGTCCTCGGAGTTAGCCAATATGGGGAGCGCACTGGAAAACTTTGTGAATCAAGTGCGCACGATGAGCGCGTCCGGTAAGTGGTTGGGGCAGGCCGGTGCGGTCAGTGTTCCGGCAAGATGCGAATTTCGGCCTCCGCCTCCGCATTTATGCGCCTTGTTTATGCATGACATGACTGTTCTCTTTTTGGATTGCAGGCAGCTTCAGGGAGCTGGCCGACGATCTGCCAGATTCGGTATCGCTTCTGGCCCGCAACTGGAGCATACTGGACAATGTGCTGGAGACGCTCGACGTGCAACAGCATACGCTGGGCGTGCTCTATGTGCTGCTGGCGAAGCTGCACAGTGCGGCGACCGCCAATCCGGAGCCTGTGCAAATCATTCAGCTGATGCGCGACTTTGTCCACCGCAACAATGTGGAGCAGCTGCGATTCGCCATATGCGCCTGTGGGTAGAACTGTCTGTCCACTCGACAACTGATTGCCAAAACTAACACTCTACTCTATAATTACCCTCTGCACAGTCTACGAAACTTGCCATTTGTTCACGGACTATCTGGTGCAGAAGAACCTCAGCATTCTGGGCATTAAAATCATGGCGCGGGCCGTTGATCAGATCCGCCAAATGGACACACAGCTTACCCCCATACACGCCGATCTCTGCCTGCTGAGCCTGAAGGCGAAAAACTTCAATCTGGTGCTGGCCTACTTGGACGCGGACATCACCGACATATCCACGGCGGCCGCCGAATGCAAGACCCAGCAGCAGCAGCAGTCCCAACACACGGTGGTGAGAGGACATACACGTTTCAATTTCGGCCGATTCTAATCCGATTGATTGCCTTGCAGGACGCCAACAACGATGCCAAGTACTTTCTGCTGTTCTACTACTACGGCGGCATGATCTACACGGCTGTGAAGAACTACGATCGTGCCCTGTACTTCTTTGAGGTGTGCATCACCACTCCGGCCATGGCCATGTCGCACATTATGCTGGAGGCGTACAAAAAGTTTCTTATGGTTTCGCTCATCGTAGAGGGCAATGTAAGAGAGAGAGAGAGAGAGAGTTTTGTGTCCAACCTTTTTAACCTAATCTACATACATCCTATTCGCATTTACAGATAGTTTTTATACCAAAAAACACACAGGTTATTGGCCGCTTCATGAAGCCAATGGCCAGTCACTATCACGATCTGGTTAATGTGTATGCAAATTCCTCCAGCGAAGAGCTGCGCATCCTCATCCTCAAGTACAGTGAAGCATTTACACGTGATAGCAACATGGGTCTGGCCAAGCAGGCAAGTAGATCGATGGAGTAGATTCCCCCCCCACAAGGATTATTGCTAAGAGATCTTTTGTGTGGGTTTAGGTGGCCACCTCGTTGTACAAGCGGAACATAAAGCGGCTGACGAAAACCTTCTTGACGCTCTCCCTAAGCGATGTGGCCAGTCGTGTGCAGCTGTCCGGTGCAGCCGAGGCAGAACGCTATATCCTGAACATGGTGAGTGGAAATGGAAATGGTGTTGAGTATGTTCACGCTGCTATATATCGAACATATATGTGATACCCTGTGGACAGATAAAATCGGGGGAAATCTACGCAAGCATCAATCAAAAGGACGGCATGGTTTTGTTCAAAGACGATCCAGAGAAATACAACTCACCGGACATGTTCGTAAATGTGCAAACGAACATAACGCAGGTTCTGGATCTAGTTAAACAAATCAATAAAATGGAAGAGGAGATCATATTGAATCCCATGGTAGGTTTTTGTTCATTCAAAAAATACTTGGTACCACTTTAATTGACCTTTGACCTACACTTGCAGTATGTGAAAAAGGCTCTGGGCAGCCAGGATGATGACCTAACGTCGCAGCATCCAAAGACCTATTCAGGGTAAGCATTAAACATGCATTTAAGTGAATTTCGGATAATAAAATGTGAGTACTCTTGCAGCGATCCCACAGATTGATGATACCACCGTAGCGGCAGAACATCATCCCCCCACCAGCAACTGGGAGCACATGGCCCGGTTGACTGCCATTAAATGTATGCTCATCCACGTACCCAAAAACAACACGATCCGTAATCCGCATTCAAGCAAGGCCCTGGGCCAACGAGCAACAACACTCATACTTCAGCTTCAATCCAACAACTGAAAATGCGCTCCAATTGCAACATTTATAGATGAACATGCTATTTTAAATAAACTATGTATAAATCTATGACTAAGCCCACGGGGAGCTTCAGCTGCAGCTCTCCCCTCTACTCTATTCGCTATAGTATCTCTTATCAGTTATTGATTGTGCTTTGTGTTTTTGACTCACAAGTTATTTGGATAGATAGCAGGTTACGCTCCAAAACGATAAGGTGTAGCGTAGGCTACGATCAGGCGACGTTTACGACGCACACTCGTCCGCCCAATTACTCTGCACTTGGCTGGCGATCTTAATTGCTGCTTGCTCAATGCTCAAGTCGTTTATTTATGTACATTATAATGGATATGTAACCTAACCTTAGGGCATTACGAACGTTTATGTGACTAGAGACTGCCCCCTCCCAGTTCACTGGTGAGGGAGGAGGGCAGTGGCTTATGGCTAGTGTAAGTGTAAGTTTAGGTCTAATTGCTTTAGTTTATATCAGGATACATTTACGAGTAGTTTTGATTTTGTTTGTGTAAGTTTGTGCGGTGGTACGTTGGTGTGGGTGTGGGTGTGGGTGTGGGTGTACCGCCAGCAGCTGTCCGACTCCCGAGCATTCTGTTGTCGTCTTCGGGCTTTTCTGAGATTCTCCCGCGCCGCACCGCGCTCGCTCTATGTGTAGTGTAGTGTAGTCAAGCCGCCAGCAGCTGCGCTGCTGCGCCTCCTTAACCGGTTTTCAGTGGGTCTATCTCCGCTATGGAGGTCTTCAGCTGGTGTGTAGAAATCGGACTCGATATGGGAACGCTGTTGATGCTGCGATACAGCTTATGGATCACATTGACCAATATGAAGCACAGAATGAGCACCAGCAGCGACATGAATGCATACGCCAAGACCAAAGGGGTGTCCGAGATGGGGTCCAGCATTTTGATAGTCGTCTTTATTTTTATTATTTTTTTTTATTTTTCGTTGCTACGAATTTTTATGATACTTTGTACTGTACGGGAATACCGAAACAAAAAGAATGTGCAAGTATATTCAATTTGACAGTGACACCAAACGCAAATGCGGGGAGACGAGACAGTTGAAACGACTAAACGACCGACCAACCTGACGACGACTACAACGCACACAGAGAACGTCAAACCGAACCGAAACAGAACTGAACTGAACTGAAACGCGTATGCTAATTAAGTATCATATATTGTACGGTGTATGGTATATGGTGTATCGTGGATGGTGTATCGTGGGGTACGTGTGTATTCGTTCTCCTCATGTACCAAAAAATGTGCCGCGCGTCGGTGGGTCGTCGTGTGTGCGTCGCTTGACACCTGCCTGAGAACTGAATCTAGCGAATCGAGTTAAATGAATGGAATGGAACTTTGTTTAGCATTACGTATACGATTCGTTGCCACAGATTGTTTGTCGTCGTGTTGGTGCTGCTGCTGCCTGCTGCTGCCTGCTGCTGGTGTTGTGCTCCGCCGTCTGTCTGGGAGTAGTTTTTTTTGTTGCTGTTGGTTTCTGATAAGCGGCTTGTGCAATCCGAATAAGTACCTACTGTGACTTGGACCGCGATTAGACAGGTTCTGGAGCTTTCCCTTTGACCAGGGCGCAAAGATTTTCATCTGGCGACGTGCCTGGACCCAGCTGCAACCCAACTTATACGAGAATAATTCATAGAATTCCAGTCGGACTCGTACTCGTACTCAAGCATTGCAATCAAATCAGCAGCGCCGCCTTCTTAATTGGCTGCCTTAATAAAGAATGAAATGGCGTCTGGCAAATTGCTTGGGGTCTCTGGATGATTCTGATGATGATGGTGCTGTGATGGTGGGGCGATTTTCTGCTTGTGATTTGGCCATAACCAACGATAAGGGTATGGAGAGGCTATCTTTATCTTTTGATAACAATTCCACGCACTCACAATGATAAGCCCACAGCCCAGACTTGGGGACATTGACAGAGACAGGTGCCACAGGTGCGAGTACATTCCCCCCGTTGCACCCCACTGCCATGCCATTGCTTGTCACGCGATTCGAATAGGCCTGGCGAGAGCCCAGTGTGCCCAACGGCGACCCACTACTGGCCGGACGACCCTGAAACCGCAGAGAGGCCTGCCCCTGCGGACTACTACTCTATGAATAGACTATTCCACGACGACTCCACTTTAATCGCATGCACGTTGTGCGAGCGAGCTAGCGAGCGCTCGAAACGAGTTCTACACAAAATCAAAATGAAAACCTAATTATAGATGCATCAGATGTGCCTCCCTTCCACTTCATGATACCCCCCACATTCCTCAGTCATTCGATTGCCTGTGTTGCTGCGGTCTCGGGGGATGGCAGGCGGTCCTACTGTCCGTAACCGGAACTGGGGAACTTCTCCGTCCCCGCATGATATTGTCCAGCGTGATCCGAATGCTGCTCTCTTCCCGCAGCATGCTGGGCGTTGGGCGCTGGTTGCATCTGAGCATAAATTTGAGACGCGGAATCTTGTGGAGTCTGTCATAGTAGCGGATGATGCGTACGGAGTCGGGTGGGCGCCGTGCGACCGCGGCACAGACTGGCTCCTCGTGTTCGCAGCTGCACATAAAGGTGATGGAACGATGGCTGGGACACATGTCGAACTCAACGGCCACCAGATAGCAGGGCTCCAGATTGACCGCAAACCGCACTGAAAGGCCAAGCAGAACAAGGATAATGTTCCAGTTTTAGAGTCCGGTAGATGTTGTCTGCACCTCTTACCCGTCGTCGACTGGTTGCCTTGAGAGCGGTTCTGCTGCCAAATGGAGCGCTGATCCAAGCTGGCCACGTGCTGTACAGAGCGTTGATAGCGCACCGGCGAGTCGATGTAGCCGCGAATGGTGTCCATGGAGCTGTGATGGCTAGCCAGCGGCAGATTGTCGTAGATGGAGATGTAGATCTTGTGACTGATGTAGACCACAATGAAGCACAGTATGCAGATGAGCAGCAAAATGAGGCCGTAGGTGAATAGTGTGGGTATCAGGAAGATGGCGTCCAGCAACATTGGGAGTGGCAGCTGCCTGACATAATACAAAAATCTACAGTGAACTGGGATTGGGGTAAGGGATTTTCAAAAGGCAGTGAAAATAGGCATTGGGATCGCCAGGACAGGGAATCACTTGAAATACATATATATATCGATCGCTTTGCTCTCTTTTGCTTGATTTTTGCAACATCTATGTAAATGTATTTATTTCTTATAATTCTTTTTGTGTTGTTTTTGTTTTTTGTTTTTTTTTTTTCATTTCTTTGTCAGAGTTTTTGTTTGCTTTTCCTTTTTTTGGGCATATACATACGATTTTACATTGATAATTTTATATGTTTTTTTTTTGTAATTAATTGTATTTTTCTCTCTGTTTCCTATCTCTCTCTCGCTGTGTCTATCTCCATCTCTGGCTCCCTCTCTCTCTCTGGGTTTTAGTTAAGGTTAGTTTTATGCATTGTTGTTTTTTGTTTTGTTTTCTCTGTGAACTTTAAGCCTAACCCGCCGGCGGGTACGGGTGTATACTCCTAATGCCCCACTGGGGGGCTCTTAAGAATCCCCTTGGCATTCAACTCCGTTTGCTTTTATTTTCTTTATCCTTTCTTTTGACTGTGTTAGTTAGTGTGTATGTGTGCGTGTGTGTTAGAGTGGTGCAGCAACAGCTTGAGATAATGTGCCTTGATCCATCAAGCAGATATATATATACACAAATGTCGGCTGTTGTATGAATGTTTCGTAAATGCAACTTCTCTCTTTTCTTTTCTCTTTTTACTGGAGGTGACATGAAAAACGCACACACGCACACACATGTACTCTACAACTACTACACACACACACACACATGCGCATAAACTTGCTTTAATATATTTAAGTTTTTGAATTAATTTACAAATTTGTATACGCCTCTGTTTGGGCAGCTGTTGAGTGACCCAAAATTCATGCACATACATACAAGTGTGTGTGTGTATAACAGAGTACGAAACTGTGCTAATTTCAATGGTATAACAGTTCGTATAACATAAGCCAAAAGCTTAAATTAGTGGGGGGTTAACAAATCGTAATTATACAAAAATAATAATATTAATAATAAAACTAAGTTCGTGAAGAAACAACAACAAGAATTGAGGGGGAATTGTTCTTATTTTTTGTTGTTTTTGTGTTTGTTTTAATTTCAATTAAATATTTTCATCGAATTTTCCGACTCTTCATGCTAGCCGCTAAATTGTATGTTTAAAAATAATTTACTAAAATTAAAAACTGTTCAGAAATTGTTTGTTTTGCTTTTTCCTTTCACTTTTTCTATGTGACTGACTTTTCTTCTCCCCAGCTCTCGTCCGCAAATTTTTCGTATGTATGTATGTATGTGAGTGCATGTGTGGGTGGCTAATTTTCCTTATTACACATATTTCTTTTATTTTGTTTTAATTCTTTTGCTCAAAAAAACATTCAGACATCTTTTTGAATATTTAATGAAACGTTTTTCTTTTCTTTCTTTCTTTCATTTTGTTTTGTTTTTTTTTTGTTTTTGGGTGGCAGCATGTTCCATTTGTTAGACAAATAGATGTTTGAAAAAGAGTTGCAGACTCTTTGTTCGTAGAGAAATGTGTAGAGAAATTGTCATTCAGAAGTAGAGTCATGGCGAAAAAAAAGCGAAAAGAAATACTAGCTCCAGTGTTGCAGTGTCGCAGAGTCGAGCTGCGTAGGGGAAACATGCCGCCGCAATCTGTACACAGAGAACAGAACACACGTGTACACGAACAGTAGTGGTATATGTAACTTTCAGCACAACATACAGAATCATTTTAATTAAAATAGTTTTGTCCTGGGCTCTGGAAACGTCCTCCTCCCGCCGCCCCTCCTATCCATTGCAAGCATTCTGCATCTTTGAGGGTCTCTATCCATCCCTTGGGGACCGGATGGAAGGCAATTAACTTTACAAATTCATATAGTTTACAATTTTCTTTGCTTTGCTGCTGCTGAGCACTTGAACCCCTTATGCTACGGGTTCCTCTTTCGTCTCTTCATCTAGATCTTGTTGTTGTTCTAGTAGATGTTTGTTGTGGGTGTTCGCTGCGTTGTTGTTGTTGTTGTTGTTTGTTTGTTTGTTTGTTGGTTGTTGCTGTGATGTGGTGTGCTTTATGCTGCTGCTTCTGCTTCTGCTGTTGTCCTTGATTTAGACGGACAACGACACGAAGCTGTTATACTGCGTGATGTTGCGTTTGAGTATGTCTGCGCAGGGTCCCAAAACGCGCTCGAATCTGAAGGTTACGCAAAGGATTATTCGTTGCAGATTAGTTTCATAATTAAAGTTCCCTTAACGCACCTCGCCCGATCCAGTTTGACGCACTTGAGCGGCCCGCGAGCCACCACAGTGGCAGCGCGTGGCCGATCCAATAGCAGGGCAATCTCACCAAAGTAATCGCTCGAGCCCAGGCGACCGACCTCTGCAGGATCTTCGCCCTGCTAAAATAAAAAGCATAAGGATAATTATATATTTGTTTTTTAAAAATTATATTCGGCGTCTGGACTCACCTCTGATCGCTGCTGCAGCACCACCGCACAGCCCTCGAGAATGATGTAAAAGTCATCGCCCGCCGCTCCCTGCTTCACGATCGTCTCGCCATCGTCAAAGGAGCACGTCTCCAGTGAGTCGGCCACCGTGAGGCGCTCCCACTTGTCCAGGCTCTCCAGAATGGAGACACGGGACAAGAACTCCTCGTACATCTTGCGCTTGCGTATGGTGGAGCCCATCAGAATGCGTCTGTAGGAGTCGCGATCGATGCCCCACAGCTTCACGTCGCTCTTGGCCCGCACGGTGGCAGCCCGAGGTGTGCCATAGATCAGGGCCAGTTCGCCAAAGCTGCCGCCCTCGCTGATGGTGGTCACCAGCTCAGAGTTGACGAAAACCTGTAAAGGAAGCGTAGCATTAAGCCAATGATACGGATTGCACCACCACTCCCATTCCCTACTCACATCAACCTCTCCCACATCAATGACATAGAAGTTGTCGCCCTCATCGCCCTGCTGGATAATGTTCTCGCCGGCTATGTGATTGACGGGGAACATGGCATCGAATATGTCGGAGCGCTCGCTCTCATCCAGATGGGCAAAGAGCACGTTCTTGGCAATGGCCTTCGACAGGGAATTCATTGTCTTGTAGTCCTTTGGCACCACCTTCTTCACATAGTTGCTGGCATCCTCCTCGGTGACAGGCTCCGCGGAGATGCCGCCGCGCCTGCGCACCGGTGGGGCAGCTGTTTGTGGCATTGGGCTGAGATCGTCGCAGTCGTCTGGGCTGATGACCTGTTTGCTGGCATCCAGTTTGACTTGTTCCTGCAAAATACACACACACACAATATATCTTTAGTATCACGGCATATCGGTCTCATTATCTCATTAGATTATATTATGCATCGCTTTATCAGTGCTCTACGTATTTTATGACTATCGTAAAACCTCGTAACTATATAATGTTGATAAAATGGTTATAATATTTTGTATATCTAATAATAAAAGTTAGGCATATAAGTATTTTATGTTAGATATCTTAAACATGTGGTGGGCACGCTTTTTTAATTTGGGAAAAACCATTCTTATCAGCTAGACTCGAGCGTTGAGGCAACGTCACACGCACACTGTGTGTGTGTTTCGTTGTTGGCTCTTGGTGTTTATTTGGTTCTGGCATTCTCAGGCATTTCTCTTTTGTCCCTTTTCGCTTGGCGAAGGATAAATCTCTGAGCTATGGGAGCAAAGAAGTGCCTCCAACGATCAAGTAATTGTGTCATATATAAATAAATATTTATAAATATTTTATATCCAAAGTTAACTTTAAATCTCTGCTTTATGTAAGTTAGTCTTAGCCATAGCATATACTGTTAATGTCCCAACATTTCCCTATAGATTTAATCATATTTACGAATTATTATAATGATTAATATTGTTGAAGGCACCCCCCGTGAGGGGGTGAATGTAATTGAAGTAAATGTCATTTGGTTAGCTCATATACTGCTAGGAAACACGGCATTAGAGAAAATGAGAGGTTCTCGTAATTTGATTTCCCTCGAAATGAACGTAAAGGGTAATCGGTAGCTCCATTATCATAAAACAAAGCAAAAAGAACTCAGGAAAGGCAGAATTAAAGAAGGCAAATAGTAAAGAAGAAACAGAATAAGAATCTTTTATATATTCGTTGTATTTGAGTTCTCTTTGGGTATCATCTCTAGATTCTATTCTGTTGAATATTTAGGTACACAAATATAACCTTTTGGCAGTTTCAAAGTTTCGCTTGAATGTTAGCTGCACAGCTACCACTCCCTTTTGAGCCTGATGTGCGTCATTCGCAATGGGTGGAGTCGGTGCGTGGGTGTTGGGATATAGAAACTGCAATCAGGAGTGCCCTGAGCCCTTTTCCTGCGAAATACATTATTCAAATGTCAAAAGGCAGATGCACGAAACCCGGAAAAGCTCCGTTTGTCCCCTCGTACGCTCCCCCGTTCGCACGCGCGAAAATCATTAAGCTCTCTCATCATCATCATCATCATCATCCCGGACAGCAGTTAAAAGCTGAAGAGCTTTACACTGTGACTTCTGGTGGCGGTGTCTGTATCCTGCCAGGCGTCTTAACTTCTTATGCAAATGAAGCCCCCACATGCAGCAGCCCCATAAAACCATCCCAGGCAGCGCTGTCCAGCTCCCTAATTGCAGGGTATTTAGCATATTGCACGAGGCGCTGCTGGTGCCATGACGTCAAAGCAGCCAGCCAGGCAGAACTCTGACCAGCAGCTGCCCCCAGTTGCATGATTAAGTTGCATTAAACTGTCACTCAATGTGGCTGCAAGTGGCGGCCAGTTGTCAGTTATAGTTGCATTTCCATAGCGACTAAAAATAGATTCCACAAGACTCACAAGTCCACAAGTGTATCTACATATTTATGTATATCTAATGCTTGAAGATGAGGTATCTGAGGTATAAGTATGTAATGGAAACAAGGAAGGAGTGCACCCTTCAAGATGGGATTATCCGGGAATAGCAATGGTTTCCGATGGTGGTCCGATAAATCTAAAAGCAACCTTGACTCCATAACCCCCGATAAATACGTAGGCGACACAGAATATCTACAGATTCCATTAGAAATCATTTAGTATCTTCTTTTCATATGTCGCAAAATAATAGAACAAAAAAAAAACTTCAACAAAGAACAATAAAAAACGATTTCCTTGCTGATATTTTTTCTACAGCTGATTGCTTTTATTTTGATTCCCGCCCCTAAACGAAAACCAAAACGAAAACCCCAACACCCAAAACAACCATTCAAAATCATTTATGACTTCCCATTAAATATTATCCAGGCAGCGCCACAGAACTTCAAATGAAACGGCGCAAGTTTTTTATTGTCTAAACAAACGCTTTGGCATAGAATGAAATACGAACGAATGCGAGTGAATATTGTAAACAAAAGCGATGCAAACATTTGAGAAAAAGGAGCAAATAAAACACAAACACGAGAGAATTGCAATTATAAAGTGAGCGATATAATCATCGGTCGTAGATGATGATAGACCCTCAAAGTTCTTGGGCCACTGCCAGGCGCCTCTCGTTTCGAATATATTTCAGGTGTAAAAACAACAACACCCACCCATTGCCTGCCACCAGTCGGACATACAAATGGCTCCATTATCAGCTTCCATGTAGAGTCCACAGTCCACCGCTGAATTTGCATATTTCAGCGCCCCATTCGTGGAACTTGTGCAGCTAACAGCAACGACAACCACACAGTGGCAGTGGCAGCCAACCGGCAGCAGAAAATTCATCATGCAGTCAGCCACCACAATGCCACCTGCTCGGGCTCCTGCAATAAAATTGCAACTTTGTTGACTCTGGGCTCCTGTCAGGGTCAGGCGCCAGGACCAACAGCCCCATACCCATTCGTGAGGCGTGTGTGCGAGCGATATGACCGTGACCTTTGTGCAGACGCGGAGTCGGCGCCCAGCCAACCAGTAGCCATGGCAGTGGCTGTGGCAGTGGCCCTGGCCATGCCCTAGCGCTACCCTTTTTCGATTTATTACCTTTCCTGAACGTTTCCCCCTTTTCCGGTCGTTTCTCAGCTGCGCGGTTTTCCGCTTTTAGCAGCGCTTCCCGATGACATACTCGTATTTTGCGGAAATCGATTTCGCATTGTAAATTGAATCAAAAAACCCCCCCCGTCCTGCCCCCTCTCGGATGAGTTGACTTTGTGGTTCGCTGGTTAAACTCTTCTTACTCACGTAGTAGGCCCCGCGCGACTCGGAAAGTGGTTGGGAGTCTTGTCGGGAACGTCACAGCTCGAGGCTCGAGGCTCGACACTCGTGGCCCTTATCAAAATTACTTGCTAATAAAGGCCAAACAGCATTTATGGGAACGGTGACAAATGCCACTTTGATTACTCGTAGATGTCAGCAAATAGAGGGTTGGCATAGGCTGAGATACGATAAGAGAAGGTGGGACAAGAAAGTGTGACATGTGAAAAGGTGTAACCAGAATGGGTACAAATTAGCAGATACTTTTCACCATGGGCTCGCAAATGATGTCAAAAAGAGGTTTTGTACAGTTGGAAGAAAAGTATAACAGTTTGTATAACAGTTATTATAACAGTAAATCTATCTGTTTTTTATCAGCATACCTGTGTATAAAATTTATACCAGTATGACAGTTAGTATAACAGTAAAAGTATACCCGTTTTAGCATTATGTCGTATAACAGCAAGTACTCATGAATAATCCTATGTCAATAGAACAGTTGTATACAAGTAGTATTTCTTGCACATTTATTATTGTTTTTTTGCCATATTAATCAGTATCAGTATATGTAGCAGACAACCAAATCCCCAACTCTATTAGGTATAACAGTTTTCAAGGAAACCTTCATAGTTCTGTTATCAAAGCGCACCTAAAACGATTCCATCTTAGATAGAAAAGGGGATGCAAAGCAGTAGAATAGGTAGAATCAAAATATATGCATCCATTTGTCAGGTTATAAATATATAACACACTAACAAACAAAAGCACACACCATGTGAATGCAACTGCAGTTCGTGCACCCCGAAAAATATAAAAGTTAGTTAAGCATTTTTGCCCAACAATCTATTTTCTCTTGTCTACGGACCCACAAAGTGCATTATAACAGTGACAATAGAGCGACAAATGGGGCGACAAATAGAGTGGGGGCTGAAGCTCCACGCCACTCTGGGCTGTTGAATGCAATTGTGGCTTGTGTGTGGAATGGGATGGGATGTGTTGTTGTTGTTGTTGTTGTTGCATCCAATGAGCATGAATAAACGAGTGATTGTGCAAGCGAATGTTAAATACATGTATGAGTTTTCGTATTCATACTCGTACTTGTAGCTCGTATAACGAATGAATAGCAATACAAATTAGACTGGACTTATGGTTTTACTTATAGTAGACATATGGGACTAACAGAAACGTTTAGCAAACCTTAGGCATATTTTCTGCTCTTAGTTGAGTTTCTGTGTGTGTGGGTTTTGGTGTATCTTTTGTTATCCGTGTAAGTGTGTGTGTGCCACTTCTCAATGTTCAACAACAAATTCTAAAAACAACAAAACAGTTCACTTCTAATATGGCCACAGAAAAACAAACAACGAAATGAAAATGCGCGACGTGCTGTGAGATTTATAGAATGTTTCCATTCCTTATGCTCTGAGCACAGAACGAACAGCAGAAGAACGAATTCCACTAGCCACAAAACTACAAGCAGCACCACCAACAGCAGCAAAAACCATCAGCAGCAGCAAAGAACAGTGAACAAATATTATAGAAATATTACGTATACGTGCGGCGTGGACAGGCGAGCAAATACAGCCGAGTCGCCATGCCAGCAATGACAAATCCAATGTCAAAGTATTATAAAAATAAATATTCAGAAATGCTCAGAAATATTTTCTTTAAATTAGATACAAAAATTCTTTGCAGCCGACACTTTTTGTAGGTGATCAAAATACTCGTAAGTAAAAGGTCTTTAGAATAGGGGTTTTTTCTTCCACCTGAAGCAAGGCTCTAGACTGTGTCCAGCACTGCGTATGATTAATATTTATTCGAGTGTGGAGGACTGGGGCTATTAAAAGAAATCGCAACGAAATTAATTGGCATAAATGTGCGATGCCATTGGCTATAAAATTATATACAAAAAATATAACATCCTAAAAATATATCATTATGAGATCGTGCGTCAGTAGATTGGGGCACATACGAGTATTTATGTATGTGATTTAATTTTCTTTTCTAGTCTTTAATTTCCCTCTCCCTTTCTATGGTCTCTCTCTGTTGCTCCCTAAGTCG